GGAGCACCCAAGCAGAGTGTGGCCTCTGACGGGCCTTCAAAATACCTGGTGGGGTGTGCGTGGAGAAAAGACAACATCAGCCACCCTCCACCCACCCCAAACCCAACCAGACCTCTGCCACCAGACCATGTCACCTCTGTGGTCACTGTCTTTTAATACCCAGCATAACTTCCTGCCACCAAAGGGCTCAGGGAGCCCCCATTCTGCCTGCCAGGTCTCTTCACCTCTCATGCTGGATGCCATCCCCTGACGAAAATGGCTGAGAGCCATTTGGCAATGGAGCCACTTGAAACCAGCCTGGCCAGATCCCAGTCATTGGCATGTCCTTGAGGGACATGTGACACATTCCAGGAGCTGTCTCCCTGCAGCTAGTGGCCAATGGGAAGCTGGCTCTGGGACTAAACATGTGGCCTGCGCAGTGCCTGCCACCCTCAGGCTCCCTGAAGAGTTGCTAGGAGCTCTGCCAAGGTAGGGTCCTGGCACACCCTCCTCCAACAACCACAGATGGTGAGGAGGGGGGTGGGAGGAGGAGGAGCGGATCAAGGCAGTGAGGCGGCTGGAGGTCCAACTTGGGGTGAAAGTCTCACAGCAGCTTGGGAATTCTTTTCATTCAGCAGAGATCTGGCCCAGCATGCCCTGTAGAGAGCGTCTGGAGTTCTGGGGAGAAGCAGGGAGGAGGATGGCTTGGAGGGTAACAGACTTGAGGCTTTGAGTTTGGTCCTGCAGTGGGGGAGGAGAGGCTGGGTGTGGGGAGTGGTGCTATTCCTAAAATTCAAAGATTGGACGGTGCTTGGCAAAGCTGAGACAGGATGATTGGGGAAGGGCGTGTGTGAGGCTTGGACAAAGCATGGATTTCAAGGGTTGGTTCTTCCCTGGTGAGGCTACAGCCAGCGGGGCTCAGGATCCCCTGGAAGGTGTCATTCAGGTGGGAGTGGGAAGACACTTCTCTTGTGCTCGATAGTGAGGTCTGGACCCTGTCTCCAGAGCTGGGGGAGAAATATGGGAACATCTTCACAGGGCACTGGGACCCCATCCTGCCTTCAGCCTGTGTGGAT